TTTAAAGACTATGATAGAAATCTATTTTGGAGCACAAACTGTAGAAGTGTTTAATTAAGAATTAACTTTAGCATTGGAAGCCAGAGTAATTCCGATAAGAATGGGTTAATGTGTTCAACTGACAGGAGGAGAATGGCCATTATATTCAAGAGTCAAATAATGGTAAGATTTCTTTGCAAATAACTCTGCTTTATTCTGGGGAAAAGTAAAAAGATCATTAAATGTTACTCTTTAGTTAATGACACTGATGTTGAAGACTAACCAAAAGTCTCTAGAACCTAACATCTGAGATAAGATACAAGATTTAGTAAACTGAGAATAACAGAGCTTAACATCAGACAGGACTTTTTTACCTTAGCTTTTTGCAATAATAAAAGGATATTTGTTCTTAAGAGAGATCATTTTGTAAAAAAGATTAAAAAAATGTGGAGTAGAATGAGGCTTGACTTATAGTCGAAGAGAAGTAATAAAAGCTTCCAAGCATTCATTTCAAAAGGAATAAAAGCTTTCAAGATGTTTTTTATACATACATATTGTGGATATAAACATATCTGTTTACTATTTATTTAGATGCAGGCGTACAATATCTTTTTATTGTTATATAAACTTTAGTATTTATATGGAATAGTATTTGCCAAAAAAAAAAAAAAAAAACAATCAGATAGATGTGTGGTGTGACTCAAGTAAGACAAAAAACGATGGCATAATCTTAGACAGATTCAAAGAAACATTGTATCGAACAATGTTTGTTAGAAAAGGTTTATGTAATTTAGGCATCAGCATGTAGATAGGTACCAGCTTCAGTAGAAAATGGTAGTGGTAGTAAGAAAATTTGAAGAGAGTGCCTTACATATTTTATGAATTAGCTTTAGTTAAGGAAAAAAAATGCTCTAGATTGTTTATATTAGAGAAAACATAAAAGAGGAAGGCTAAAGGTTTGGAAGCTAATGATGATGATCATTATCATCATCATCATCAGGCTTTAGCATTCCTATTTTATGGTGTTGATGATGATAATGATTGTGATCATGATGATAATGATGATGATGATGATCATCATCATGAAAATAATGATGATTATCATAATCATGTTGATCATAATTATGTTTATATATACAAAATATAACATGAATTTAAAATAAAAAAATATACTTTAGGATGTATAAATGTTTATGTTAACCCGGCCCCAGCTATATTTTATCAAACCCAGCCCCAGTCAAATATCATAATCATGTTGATCATAATTATGTTTATATATACAAAATATAACATGAATTTAAAATAAAAAAATATACTTTAGGATGTATAAATGTTTATGTTAACCCGGCCCCAGCTATATTTTATCAAACCCAGCCCCAGTCAAATATCAACCCTGGTCATTTTTTAGTTAACACCCTGCTACTGCTTTGTAGTTTAAACACTTTGCGTGACAGCAAATCTTTTAAATTGATTCTAATCAGTTTTATTGTTTTATTACTAAGAATTGGTTCCATATAATCAGAATATTACTGATGAGTCTTAAAATACAAAACAATATCATCTAATGCTGGAGATATATATCACATTTTGAAAATTTAAACTTTTTTGCTGGCTAAATATCCCAAAATTGTTCTTTTGAGGGTTGGTTCTATATACATAAGGGACATCAAAATAATAACTGTTGAAATACAAAACAATATCATCTAATGCTGGAGATATATATCACATTTTGAAAATTTAAACTTTTTTGCTGGCTAAATATCCCAAAATTGTTCTTTTGAGGGTTGGTTCTATATACATAAGGGACATCAAAATAATAACTGTTGAAATCCTGGTTAACATCCGAGGGAGATATTTAACTTTGTATTTTTTAATTTTTTCAATAATTTACAAATATTTATGGCAAAAAAAAGGTTGTTTTTTACCATACCATTGCTACACAACCAATTTCCCAGATTTTGGGTAGATGTTGCTTTCAAATAATAAATTTGTTAATATGTTAAGGGGTTAGTAAATATGTTAAGGGGTTAATAAATATGTTAAGGGGTTGATAAATTTTATTGTATATTTGAGGTTTTTTTTTCTAATAATAATTTTTATGGTATATTTGAGGATTTTTTTATAAATTTATGCAAATATTTGTAAAAGACCAAAGTTGGATTTAGTGAAAATAAAAAAAAAAATGTGAATTTTTCATTGTGAGAAAATTAATTTACTTATTATCTAATAGTTCTTTTAAAGTTAATATTTTCTTCTCTGAAATCTTTTTTTGTTCTTTTACAAGATGTTGGTAATATCTACTTGGAATGGCTACTTTTACTAGATAGTTGTTAACATCTAAAGGGCCTTTTACAAGATGTTGTTAACATTTACTTGGAATATTGTGATCCAAAATGATTAAACAATCATTAATGATTGCTACAAAAGCTTCAGACAAATATTTTTAATACTCCCTTTAGACAATCATTGATGATTGCAAAACTATATCCTTGGAGACAAATTCAGCACAATGAATTCGTACATAAATAAAATAAAAAGCTGTAGCAATAAACTAACAATAGTCGATATACAAAAAACTTCAGTAGAAAATGGTAGTAAGAAAATTTGAAGAGAGTGCCTTACATATTGTATGAATTAGCTTTAGTTAAGGAAAAAAAAATGCTCTAGATTGTTTATATTAGAGAAAACATAAAAGAGGAAGGCTAAAGGCTTCAATGAATTCATAAATAAAATAAAAAGCTGTAGCAATAAACTAACAATAGTCGATATACAAAAAACTACAAACAGTTTAACAGTATATAAATAATTGTAATATATTTAATATATAAGCGTAATGATATATTTAATATATAAGCGTAAATAAAAGTTACTAATATTAACATGACTATTTTTTAAATATGAAAATCAATATATTTTGTATTGAAATTATCATTATTTTATGCTACTTTTAAAAAAATATTTACTTTTTTCAAGACCATAATGATTGCAGAAAGGCAGTGTGTGTTATTCAGGGTGGCCACTGGTTATGGAAATAATGGAAATATCATGTAATTTTATTTGGTCATGGAAAAAGTCATGGAATTCCTAAATTTTTATTGAAAGTCATGGAAAAATTCGTGGCTTTATTTTTTTCTACTTGCGATATTTTTAGAAGGCAAAGAAAAGTACTAGTCTAAGTATGTCTAGTCTAAGTTTTTTTTGAAAAATATATTTTTGCAGTATAAGTTATCAGAGAAATAAAGAAAAAGAGTTTTTTTTGGTCATGATTTCAGAACTTTCTACCAATTATTTTTTGGTTTGCATGTTTTATAATGACCAAGTTGCAAATACTTAGTGCATGACAAGTACTGAATATTGTACTCTTGTGATTTATCATAAAAATTTATGAAGTGGAAATGTTATGAAAATATCATGGAAAAGTCATGGAATTTTATTTTCTAATTTGAGTGGCCATCCTGTAAAATATTTGGTTATAATAAAATTACTGAATATTTTACTCTAGTGATTCATAATAAAAGTTTATGAAGAGTCATAGAAAAGTCAATTTCATTTTCAAATTTGAGTGGCTACCCTGTTATTTGCATGAAAAAAAGTAAGAAATTTTAGAAAATTTCATTTCTGAGATACATTGCTTGATTTCATCAAATGTGAATTTTCAGGATGAAAGAGTACCACTTGGAATTTGTGACACGATGCAACCTGAAAAAAATAGGTGATGGAGCTAATGCCTTGAAGGCAAAGCAACTCTGTAGTTTTGTTTCCATTGTTGTGAAGCAGTAAAACTCCAGTAAAAGTCGAATAAATTGGCTTCAAGTGAAAACCTTGGACAGGTGTCAAAAACTAATTATAGCAATCTCTGTAAACACCTGTAAATAAAGTCTGTTTGGAGGGTAGCATTTTAACATTTAAATTGTTTGTAGCTCTCTATTTACTGAATATGAATGTTACAAGATCTTGTTATGTACGTTACTCTAAGTTCCTATAACAATTTTTTATCTAATAAATTTTATATTTATTAGTAATCTAATATTTAGATACCAATAACCTGTTTCTTCTGGCACCAACACAGCATTTAACTGATTGTTTACTATCTGCAGAATTACAAATTTGAAACTGCAATGTCTAAAAACGCGCCTCCTTCAGAGAAGAATAAGGAGATTAAGGATGTTTAATGTAACAGAAGAGAAAGGAGAATAGTTGTGCAGAGAAGACACGGAGTTTTAGGAACTGCAGTTTTCAACAAAAGGGAAAGTAGGATATTGCACCACAAAAGAAGACACAGGGGATACATATAAGAAAAGTGAAGATGCTTAAAAGAAGAGTGTCAGTCATACAAGAGTCTATTGAAAAAAGTAGCGAAGAAGATTCGGAAACAGTTACAGAAGAAATAATGATAATTTCATTTTTTTTACAAAAGAAAAATCTATGAGTGAAGAACAAAGTTATAGTAGCAATGAAGATTATGCGAACTTTATGTTTATAATTGGTGTGTCTTTTTTTAAAGACAGCCATGATAAAACTCTAGTTGGGACTAATTACTTCCGGGAGTTTCCGGGGGTTTTGATTTTATCTTGAACAAGGGAGTTTTGATTAACGGGAGGGTCAGACAAACCTATTTTTCTTGTTTTTATATTGAATTTTAAATTGTATCTAGTTATTACAATTTTTAACTTTTTCTTTATTTGTAGCCGAGGGGCTACAATTTGAGGGGGTTTAAACCTTATATGTTCATAATTTTTGATAGTTTAGAGATTATTGTATGAATTTTAAAGTTTATAGATGAATATAAACAATTAAGGAAAGTAAAAAAAAGTATTTTATCAATTAGTTGCTCTCATGTTTGGGGCAGGTGTAGCAAAATATTTTAGGGCTTATTTGTTCCAAGACTCAAAACGTTGCAAATTTTCGCGAAGCATAATTAATTGACATTGACAATCAAAAAATGCTGCATTTGTCCCTGTTTTCGTATCTGTATTTGCTGCTGTTTATGAAATGATGATAATGATTTTTTTTTTTTTTAGGAAACTTATGTTGGTAATGTTTCAAACGTAAGTAATACGATTTCTACTAATGCAACAGATACAAAAGTTGTTGGAAATTCTATAGTTGAAAAAATCGAAGTTTCATCCAATCTTAAGGAAATAAATGAAGAAGATATTTTGACCGAAGTAAAAGAGCCATCTGATAATAAAGCTGCTTGCGAAAATGAAAATTTATCTTTACAGATAAATAAACATAAATCTATGTCTGAAACAATACAAAATGATTCTCTAAAGTTAGATCAAATGACTCAATTGATTGATGCAAAGAATTCTGAAGTTAATAAATTAGGTATAAAAAATGTTGAACTTGATATTAGTGATTTAAATAATGGTGAACTTATAACTAGCGATCTAATCAACGGTGAGTTTAAAACAAATGATCAAAATGGTAACCAAAAGAATAGAGATCTCGAGAATCCTCTAAACTCAGATAGAATTGTTTCAAACTTTGAACAAAATGGTACTGTTTCTACTACAAATGAAATACTCAAAAATGATTGTTCTTTAACGCCAAAATCCAATCATGGAGCAAACATTTATTTTTCAAATGATTCGATAAAACCAGAATTTTTAACGAATGCATCGAGTATAAACGTCATCGATGACTGTAATAAATGTTCCCTAGAAAATGAAATATCTATCGATAAAATGGGTTCTTCAAACTCTGATATATACCTTGAAGATTTTGGTAAATCTTTTGAAAATGATCTTAATAAAATTAATCATTCTTTAGAAGTTGAAAACAAAAGTTCCTTCAACGAGGTTGGTATAAATAATGTCTGTAATGATGTAAAAAATGAAGACAAAAATAAAATATTTGGTACGTCTAATGACAATAAGAAATTGAAAAAAAATAAAAGTGTGACTAAACGAGTGACTAGAAGCAGCTTGCTTTCAGCACCAAAAAAAAAAAAAAATTTAGATTCGGAATTGTCGGAAACAAACGATCAGGTTTGTGAAGGTAATGCTAGCTCTTTAAGTATGATGGCATCAACAGATGAAAAGCTAAAAGATTTGGCTGTGGATACAAATAATTTCAACTCTGCTCTTTTAAGTCAACAAGTGTTAAAAAACACGGATAGTCATTACGATTCAGACATTTTAAAAAATGCTGACGGTGAATTTATTGATTCCACAAATGAAATTAAAGTTGAAACAATTTCAAATACAAAATCTAAAAGTGTAAGAGGGCGTAAAAGAGGTAGAGGTAGAAGGAAATCAAAACTATAAAATGTAAAAGTTCAAATAATTTCATGTAAAAAATGTGAAGGTGTTGACGGGCGTAAAAAAGAAATGATAAAAATAATATTTTGAGATTAAGAATGAAAAATGTAGATAGGACAAAATTTTGAAATCTTAATTCGTTAGAAGGTGTAAAAGAGCATATTGCTGATGAAATTAAAAAGAGTATATTGTTAACGTATAAGATGTTTTTGATAAATAAAAGTATATTGTTAATGATCGTATAAGATGTTTTTGATAAAAGTATATTTTAACTATCAACTTTTACCTTTCGTTATTTTACAAGTATTATTATATGATCCTGATCAGAAGTGAAACCAGATTCATATGGCATGTCGTTATTCATATAGTAGTTAGACTATGCGAAGCTCGTTTTGTTTTTGGAATTCATTTGCCTCAGATGCGTCTCCTCTGTTTGGTTCAATTATATTTGAATAAATAATTTATAACGTAAAATAGGAATTTTTTTTAAATTTGCTTTTCTTACTGCTGTACTATGTTTTCTTTTTTATTGTTATTTTATTATAATTTAACAATATCAATTTTTTATTGGTTATTATTGGTTACAATTGATACATTGGTCACTATTAATACCATAGAGCCAAAAAAAAATTTTAATAGTTGGTAAAATTTATCATTGAAGATTAGATAAAAATAAACTATACTTAGGGATTGTCCATAAATTACGCAACGCTAAATATATTTTAAAAACAGAAGTGGGAAATCTGAAGCTCTTTTACGCGGCGATTTTCATTATACTTGCGCTATTTTCATTGCACTTTCGCGTCGATTTTCATTATACTTTCATTATATTTAACTTAAGGCTCTGCGCGAGAAAACTTTTGACCTTTTTTGTTTTACTAATTGGTGAAATTTAGCGTTGCGTAATTTATGGACGATCTCATAGTGCTTTAAGTTTATCTATTGCAAAAGATTTGGTCTTGTTTTTTAATAAATGGTTTAAAGCAGTGAGTTCCAATTATGAAACTACGCAATAATTTTTTAACGATAAGCCAAGTTGTGTATAAAAACAAAACGATAACACATAACAATAGCACAGCAATACCACATTACACTAAATACTGACATACATGTTTTTAAAAAAGTTAGACATTACAACCTAACTTTTCACCAGTAATACTCTATGGCGATAAACACTCCCAAGAACACCAATTTGCTGGCAAGGATAGCAATCTTGTTTTAAACTTTGCTAAGTAACACCATTTTTGAAATATAGAAACAAAAAAAGGTGACCAACGTCCTCTTATTTACCTCTATATATTTAATCGTGAAAGTTTACGAGAGCTACGTAAAGCAATGACAAAAGCAACTGAAAAATAAAAGCAAATGTAATTACATGTATATAAAAAATACAAAGTTTTAGACTGATAAAAAAACATTTAGTTTAAAAATATTATAAAAGGAGTATCCAACTTACATACAATGTTGGCTTTTTTTTTTTTTTTTTTCCAAAACATATTTGCGCTCAAGGATGTTTGAAAACATTAAAACTACACTTCACAACTTAAGAATAATTTCAAACTCAAAAAAAAACACTGATCGGGTTTAGATTTTTTGATAGATAATCCCTAAGAAACTATCGATTCGTTGGTGTGCACGACTTGCTTGGCGTGGATATGGGCCAGAAGATAACAAAGTAGAACATACTCCTTTGATTATAATAATAAACTATAATAGTAATTATCAAAAAAATTGTTAAGGTGGTAGTACCCTTTAAGAGGGAAAAAATTTAAAACTTGATGGGAACATTAATGTTTTTCTGAAATGTTAGATTAAATCATTTCAAAAAATAACAAAATTAATTGTTTTTACCCCCTGCTCAATAATCATGCGCATAAATTAGCAAAGTTTAGGCAAAAAAATGGACCTTTTTTTAACAAGAATATCTTGAGAACAATACATGTTCTACAAACCAAACTTTATAAGCAGTTTTATATATGTTCAAAAAATGTGCTGAATTAAAGATTATACAATAAACAACATTTAACAACTTTAAAATTATTAAATTCTATCAATAAAAAGAAAAAAGTATAAGTACAGCTTGCTAGAGCTCAAATTTTAATTTTAAATAAAGTTAATTTTTTTTGGTTCAGAACATCACAATTACGCTCAAGAAAATTTGAGAGAATTCCAAAAGATACAAAAAAAGTGAATCGCTAGAAAAACACAATTTATAAAAATATTCAAGTTTTTTACACAACAAAACCTTCTAAAAACCACCACTGTTGTATGTAACACCTTCTGCTTCGTTGGTGTTGTTCAATAAAGCATTTTTTAATAGCTCTTAGCTTTTTCCTCCAGTTTTTTGTGGCACCTGTACTTTTTATCTCATTCTGCTTAATGCGTACATAATCTTCATTTAGAGAACTTTTTGTTGTAAAATATACAGGCAAAACATTACATTTTTCAAACACTGGTAGTAAACCCTGAACTCTATTATTGATGCTAATTATCGCAAAAGCCAAAGCAATCTCAACAACTGTTCTTTTCACATGTACTCTTTTGGGTGCGCGAGCCCAAACCATCCAATTTAGCGATTCATTGATATTTTGAGTTTGGCCATGTAAACATTTCTTAAGCAATTCATCACTGCCAAGATCTTTGTAAGGAAAAATTGGCTTAATGAGCTTAATTATAGCTTTTGGGATACACTTTGAATTGTAATTCATCCCATATAAACTATCAATATTTTGGCATATTGCTATTCCATAATAGTTTTGAAGAGAATTTATCCAGTTATCAGTTAATCTTTCTTTCCCACTGATATACTTTTCATCTGATAATGTATTACCTTTGTAACGATCTCGCAACATTCGTAGTCTTGCACCAACTCTCTTCTGAACATGTCCTATGCACTCTACTTTCTCAATAGTTTATTCTGAGTATAGATTTGCGTCACAAACTTGCATATAAAACTTGCTATCTCCATCTCCAATATATGTTAGGTACTTGAGTTTAAGCTCCTTGACAGATCGCTTGAATATTTGTACAGCGCCTACAGATTCCATACTTCCTGAGCTACCCTTATGATTGATCTTGCAATTATGTGTGATTTTTCCGTTCTCGTAAGCTGGAGTACCTTATCTTCTTGAACATATCTTGCAGGAATAACAACTTTTTGTCTGGACAGCAGCATCAATAAACTTTCCATGAAATATTGCTGTGACTATACCATTCATTAAAGAGTATCCTCAGCGTTGCCAACCATCTAAACTAACAGCAACATTGAAAATTGATGATTCATCATAATTTTCACCAAGTTTTTCCCTACGTATGTCCTCTGAGGCTTTTTTTGTACTCTGTCTAGAGGTTTCAATGTAAGCAAGGTAAAGTTTGTTATTAATATTATGGTAACCACGTTTAGTCATACCAGGAGGCATATTCATTAAACGACAAAAAGTATTAATTGCTGTGTATCCTTGCCCCATTTCTCGAAAAGCTAACACAGTACGTAGGTTAATTTTTTTCATTTTTTTTACCTTTGATTACTTCATTTTTATTTTCTATTGATTTCGAAGTTAAAAAATTCATCGCCCATGTACAATCTTGACAAGAAATTAGGAAAGTGTGAGAAAGACCCACTTTTTTATATATGTCATGTATAATATTGATTGACGAATAACATTCTGGGCATCTTCCAATTGTTTTCAACAAACTTGAAAATAAATCTGAGTTTATAATTATATTACACTCTTTTTCTATACAATCAAAGTTTTCTACATCTAAAAAAGACAAGTTTATTTTTTTTCCAGATGCCGATCCACTTAGATTGCTTGGTGAATGTGGAAACAAAACAGTTTGTTGTAAAGCATTTGAATTATTTAGAGAATCTTTTTCTAATTTATGAAACTTTCTTTTCTTTGCTCTTGATTTAGCATATCTTTTTTTTTGAACCAACTAATCAAAAATATCATCAATCAAATAAAATTTTCTATATATTACAGAAACAAATATGAGGTTTCAGTTTATGGATATTAGATCAAAAAGCAACAAGCGATCTAAAGGAACAATTTAGTCAAAAGCACACAAAAAAAAGCATATAAATTGGACTTTTATTTTTCAAGATATAGCAAGAAATGTATCTCTAAGGGCCGTTGCTAAGGCAATTAATTTTCCGGTACCAAATTATTAAGGATAATTTAGGCCTTATGATTATTTATTTTTTTGAATTCTTTTTAATTATTATAAGAGTAAACATGATAAATGAATGAAAATTGTTGAAAAAAAAAAATTTGAAAAAAAAAAAATTTTAGCCTGTTTTTTGGGGTACTACCACCTTAATAATAATTTTTCATAATTATTTTACTATTAACGCTTGAAGAGCACTATGCCAAAACAAAAACTCCAACTATCTAAAAGAGTGGCTGATTAAGTGTGAACTTTCGTAATAGTAAATTTGCCAGTTTGAGCTTGTGCAAATTCTTTTGGCGCACTTACGCCAGTTTTTGCAGCATCTCCGCACTTATGAAATTGCACTTTTTTTTTTTTTTTGGTTTATATTTGTTAATCATTGTACGGTGTACGGTAAAATTTTTTATTTTTTTTTGGTTTACATTTGTTAATCATTGTACGGTGTACAGAGTACGGTGGAGTGAAAACAATTTTTTTTAGAAACTCATATTTTCTCCCTGATTTCTATAATAATTTTAGGAAAACTAAAAAAATAAGACCAAGATGAGAAAAGAATTACCCCTAGCACCAATTTTTGACCATTATTACTTATTATTGAAAACGCAATTTCTTCTTCAAAAAAAATATTAAAAATTTTTTTTTTGAAGAAGCTTTGAAGTTATCAAAAAATCCAAGATTCTAGATTAAGAACTTTTGTTCTTATTTTAAGAACTTTTGTTCTTATTTTAAGAACCTGATTCTTATTTTAAGAACCTGATTCTTATTTTAAGAACTTGATTCTTGTTTTAAGAATTTGATTCTTATTTTAAGAACCTGATTCTTATTTTAGATTCCCATTCTTATTTAAAGATATTCAATAAAAAACATTGTTCCTAATTTTATAATATTGTAACATTTTGTTTGTATATAATATGTATATATATTTATATATGTATACATATTATATACAAACAATGTTTATATATATATATATATATATATATATATATATATATATATATATATATATATATATATATATATATATATATATATATATATATATGTGTGTATATATATATATATATATATATATATATATATATATATATATATATATATATATATATATATATATATATATACATATATATACACACACACACATATATATATATATATATATATATATATATATATATATATATATATATATATATATATATCAATAGAGACCTAAAAAAAATTAAAGAATTCAGAAAAATTAAAGCCACTGAATTTCCCCTTCTGAAAATCCTCCCCACCCTTTGATAGACCTTGTGTTC